TTCATCCATTTATTTTATACATATATGTATATATATATATAATAAAATGTATCTTATATAATAAAATGTATCTTATATAATAAAATGTATCTTAATCATACTTTTAACATAATCATCTCATATCCCCTTCCTCCTTCTTCCAACATGGCTCCTCTCTTCTATTTTCTTTCTTTTTATTGGCTTGCTTGTTTGTTTGCAGTCCACTGCACTTCACTGCTTGCCAGTATAAATTATTGGTTCATTTTTCTAGAAATGGTCTCAGGTAGTCCAGACTGTACATTCGCTCTACATAGCCTAAAATTAATACCTGATCATCCTGCCTATACCTGTCAAGTGTTGACATTACAAGTGTGTGCTGCCATCTCCAGCTCACACATGAAATTTTGGAGTTTTTTAAAGAAAAAAATATAGATATAAGTTTATGTATGTATTTGTGTGTGTGTGTGTGTGTGTGTATGTGTGTGTGTATGTGTGTGAGTGTATGTGTATGTGTGTATGTGTGTGCTTATACATGAATGTAGTTGCTCCAAAGACAGCAACAGATCCTCTAGACCTGGTGTTGTAGGGAGTTGAAAGCCACCCTTGCATATGCAACAAATTCAGCTTAGGTTCACTACAAGAACATTACACACTTTTACTGGATGAGCCGTCTCTTGAGCCATCTACCCATTTATTCTTAAATGTTCAGAGCTCTTATTTAATCTAGTTTTAGGCTTTTGTGTGGTTAATTTTCTTGGATTTATTTCCCTTAATGTAAACATTTTATTCTTATGAATTTTTCTCCTGGTGTGTACGGAATGGGTGATATATGCAGGTGTTTTGAAAATGATTCTATGATTTGGGATATTTTTAGATAATGATATAAAAGAGGATCACTGAGTCCTCTTGAATACAAAGAACTTCTTGAACTACTAGGTCATTAGACAACAAAACATCTTTCTAAACTGCTTTTTGCTCCAGGCTGGAGGGAAAAAGAAAGGATGTCATATTACTCCATCATTTGGAGCAGTTCATGGTGTCAGTGATATCTGTTTGAAGAACACTCTTAGATGCTGTATGTCCTCTCTCTGCTTTTCCCTGTTTGGTAGCATTCTGTAAGGTCTGATCTATGCTGCGTCTGGGAAGCAGATGGGTGCAAACTTCTTAGGATGACAAAGGCCATTCTGGATGATTCACAAAATGCCATAAGTCTCTTGATCAACATCCATAATGCTGTCTTAGTTACTTTAGTATTGCTGTGATAAGATACCATGACCAAGGCAAACTATAGGAAAAAAAAATAAAAGAGTTTATTAGAGTTCATGGTTCCATGGGTTAGATTCCATGGCCATTGTGGGATAGAGCAGAATAGCAAGCAGGCAGGGATTAAACTATCGCAGTAGCTGAGCAATTATATTTTGATACATAAGCATCAGGCAGAGAGAGAAAGTTAGTTAGAAATGGCTTAGGGTTTTTAAAATCTCAAAGGACTACCCTCAGTGACACACCGTCTTCAATAAGACCACAGCTCCTAAGCCTTCCCAATCAATCCACTGACTGAAGACCAAGAATGAAAATATGAACACTTCTCATTAAAACCACTGTAATGTATAAAAGAAAGTTCAGTAACTACCATATTTTCTGGCCAGTAGTCCTACATTTTGGTAAAGCAGGTAAGTAAAGATAGAATTGGATAATATAATTAGCCCTAATATAAAACATAATAGAAGAAATCTGAAAAGTCTCCTGGAATTGTCTGACAGTGGGTTCCATGAAATGACATCAGCATCTTTCCAACTGTAGGAGCTGACATCTCATTTTTACACAGAACTCTGGGCATAGGCTAGAGGGTTGTTTCTACTTAAGGAAAAGCACTATGATGGAAACCACCCTCAACATGGACATCAGTGTTCAGCTCATTCTAAGAACTGCAATAGTTTTGCTTCTGAGTAACTGAAATTTTGGGATTTTTGGTTCATACCAGCTTGTGGGTTGGAAAGAGCTGAATGGAACATTTCTTTCCACCCAAAAGGCTTTCTTCCCTATACCTCTTTGAGGTAAATAATCAAGGCTAGATACTTCTGACATATAACTCTTGTCGTCCAGTGCAGCTGTTGTTGGCCACCATTCTCAATCTGTCTTCTTTTATGATGTCTAAAGCAACCTGTCTGCAAATTCAGGCAATTTTTTTTTGAGGCTTCTGAAGCTCCCATTGCTTTAGATGAACATTTCAAGTGTTTTTACCCGTAAGAATTGTTTTTCAGGAGGCAGAAGAAGTTCCTACTTCATAAACTGAGGAACCTCTCTGAGTCCCTTCCCTAATATTCTCTTCAATGTCACACAGCGGTGAGTTCATAAACTATCTATACTAATGGGATCATACATGGGTAAACAGGCTTGTAAATCAATAGTAAATTAGGTAATAGAATAGATTTTAGAACAGTGAACTTGGCCATTAAAATATTTAGAAAAATATGGTGAGAGTGAATAAATACTTCATGGTTTTCTTTTTCTTAATATTGCCTTCATGTTCATTAAAGATATCTCTGTGCTTTGAAGTAAACCTAATTTACTGTGATGCCTTTGTTTCTTCAATCAATTAAAGAAGTTGTCACAGGAATGTTATGCCTACTCAAAGATTTTCCATAGTCAGCAATTCAAAAATACCTACCTGGTATCTTGCATTTTGAGCCAAGGGATATCAATGTGTCTTTTGAAGTTATTGAATGGCATATATTATCTACTGAACAGAAGTTGACATCAAAGGAAAAGACCTTTCCTAATACTCATGATGATGATGACTGAAAAAAGAAAAACTGTCTGATCCTATTTTTTCCATTATTTCTTTCTCCTTCATTTTAATCCCCTATCCTGCCAGGGCTTTGAATCAGGCATAAGGTTAGCCGATTCCTGGTCTGGGACATCTATAAAGCAATAAGTCAAACCTGAACTTGCAGTGTTTATCATCATCTTGGTATAAGACCTTTTCCAGACAAAGCAGTTATAAAAATTCTGGTGTGTAAATAGATAAATGAGAGATAATTACATAGCAAAATAATCACAAACTAACAAATTTATTTCCTCAAAAATATTTCATTTAATTTAGTGACCTATCTATTTAATCACATCTATGCAGTTCAGTTTATGTTTTAATAATAGACATGTCTACTAAGCAGCTTTAAAACTTTCTGAAAATCTAACCACTGGTCCTCCTGTAATTAACTAATCTCTGCATAGCACTTTTAATGCCTTAAACCCTGCCCACTCTGTTGCTTGCAATTTCTGCTTTGGGGACTGGTACATACACCCTACATCTTACCTTCTGTGATAATCTGAATTCTTGGCCCAGTGAGTGCACTATTAAGAGGTGTGGCCTTGTTGGAGTAGGTGTGGCCTTGGAAGTGTATCATTGTGTGTATGTGCTTTGCAACCTTCCTCCTAGCTGTCCGTAAGGCAATCTTCTCCTAGTGGCCTTCAGATAAAGATGTAGAACTCTCAGCTCCTCCTGCACTATGCCTCCCTGGATGCTACCATGCTCCTGCCTTGATGATAATGGACTGAATCTCTGAACCTGTAAGCCAGCCCCAATTAAATGTTGCCCTTATAAGAGTTGCCTTGATCATAGTGTCTGTTCACAGCAGTAAAACCCCAACTAAGACAGCTTCTGATAAGGCTAATTGGAACCTTCTTTCAAGACTTAGTGAAGTCTCCTGTTGGAAATCTTGTACCTCTTTCTATGAATGAAATATTCTGTATCCTTCTGTCCCCATCCCAAGAGTCACATCCTATTTTCCACTGTCCCTTGGATACCCTACTTTATGGTACACCAACTATTGAACTGCAAGATCTGTGCCCTACTTTGTAATGTAGTTTGATCCATTTTACAGATCTCTTCCATCAGGGGTCTGGGTTCAGTCTTTAACACCACAAAAACGGGGGAAAAGTTCTAGCCTCTTAGTTAAACCTTCAAATGAAACCTGCTGATGATAGATTTTAAGACTCCTGGAAATTTTTAAATTAGATATTTGTATATGACTCAGGGGTACTAAACTCAAGTCATCAGGCTTGGCAGCATATTCCTTTACTGAATGAACCATCTTGCTAGTTCATGCTGAGATATTCTTGATATTTTCTGTATCATTTTTTAGTCCAACTAATTGAAATTGTTTGTTCAGTATGAATGATCTTATGTAAACAAGAAATAATAACACTGGGAGGTTATATATATATATATATATATATATATATATATCCATATGTGTGCACACATGATCACAAACACACACATACACATACCACTTATATGTATACACTTAAAGATACATGCACATTTTTATGGTTAGCTTCAAATATCTACTTGCTACAACTTAGAATCACCTTGGAAGAGAATCAATTGAGTCTTTTTTAGACTGAGATCTATCTGGTTTGTAGGAAACTGTTTCTATTGCTGATTGAGGTGGGGAGATTCACTCTGAATGTGATCTGTGCAATCACATGGGTTGTACCCTGATTACATAAATGTGAAGAAAGCTACTAGAGAATAAACAAGAGAAAATGCATTCTTTTTTATTTTTCTTCATCATTGATGCAATGTGACTGCCTAGCATTTGAGTTCTCGTCTTTACTTTTCTGAAATGATGGATTCTAATCAGGAATCATAAAAGCCAAATAAACCACTTGTTGGCAACTTTTTTTGACAGAGCAACAGAAATTACACTAGGATACATATATACATACATATGCATACACATACATTCATACATACACACACACACACACACACACACACACACACACACACACACACATGCCCACAGAGAGTAAAAAGAAGTATTGATTTTTAAGTTATACAGTTGATACTTTATTAGGGAAACAAAGTGTGACCAAGACATTTCTAGACCTCAGTGTAGATCTTCCTGGCAGACTCCTCCCTTGTGTCCTAGCCCAGATGGAGGTGCTTAAACACTCTATTTACAGACCTTTCCCTCATTTCTGGGAACCTGTGGGGAGGATTGACTTACCTCATAGTCAATGTCCAGGACATCTGTCTCACCCTTGGTCCGGAAGTGCTGCGTGTTCATGTCCACAGTGAAGTTTGCCTGCTTTCCCACACGCTCCAGGAGAACTGAATGCCAATGCTGGTCATCTAAAAGGCTACCCAGGATGACCAAGGGCACAGTGCTGCCGAGTCGAGCTTTACTGTCATCTGCAGAGTGAGGAAGAAGGAATGAAGTCTTAGCTACAGCAACTTTGAATTCTACACATCAACAGCACTGATTGCAGGTTACCTGAAGTTTCCTCAAACAAACCCAGCTCAAGCTGTCCCTCTACCTTGCATATTATTTAGCATTTACCAGGAGTTATACACAGGCTTTTCCTTTGATTCCAGAACCCAGTTCTGCACCCCACTTCCTGACAGGAAATATAATCTGTCCAAGTACATCAGCAATTGCATGGTGACAGAATTTTTATAGTATTGGATACAAGAATAAAATTGAAATGAAAAGTTTTTACGTTTAAGAAAAACAAAGACACACACGCACACACACACAATTTTTGAGGATTATGAATGAAGAAAGCAAATCTTGACCTAAGTTTGGAGCAAGCCAATGGCCATAAAGAGTGTGTTTGTGCATACAGGAGCAGAAAAATCATAACCATTCCAGCTGTAATTGTTGAGTGCCTACTGTATGAACTGAGTCCCTCCACCAAAAGGGTAATGGCTGCCACTACCACACACAGATTTTGTCTCAACATTAAAAGAATGCTGTCATTACTGATACATATACATTTTTAAATCTTTATAAATTGTGAGTGAGTGTATGTGTGTATGTGTGTGTGTGTGTGCATGTGTGTGTGTGTGTGTGTATACCATGATGCATGTTTGGAGGTCAGAGACAGCTTTGAACACCAGTCTTCACCTTGCATTTTGCTTCAGACAGAGTATCTTGTTTGCCCCTGAGTAACCAGCCTATGAGGATCTGGAGATTCTCTCTCATATCTGTCTCTCAGCCTGCAGTAAAAACTTATATGAAGTTATAGACAGTTTTGCTTTATGAAAGTGTTGGAGATCCAAATTTCAGATTTTCACACTTAGATGGCAAACACTTTGACCCACTAAGTCACCTCCCTACGCCACTTCCTATGTATCTTTCTTGGTGTTGGAAGAGGTGAACAATGTCTTCATTTTTATTTCATTTTTGTAAGCCACATTCTCTGACTTTTGACCATTTGTTTTCACAACAATTTAGATTTAGTCAAACATCTGTGGTATAAACTTTGTGGCTATCTTCCTGATCTATTACTTTTTGAGTGTTACTTTCTCTGTAATATTTACTTTAATAGTGAAGATATTTTTCTGTCGAAACTTCATTATTTGAGGCCTGGAGAGGTGGCCCTGCAGTCTAAGAGCTTGTTTTGCGAACTCCAGAATCCAACTTCAGATCTGTAGAAAACCTATTAAATGCCTGGTGGGTGTGGTGGCCCACTGTAATCCCAGCCCTGGAGAGTAGAGACTGAGGATTGCAGTGCAAACTGTCTCACAACACTCTCCATCTCCCTGACCTCTAGGATTGCTTGAGGACCCCATCCTTGATAAATAAGGAAGAAGAGCAATGTAGAATGACTTCCAACATCAACAGTAGACCTTCATTTCCAGGAGCATACAGATGCACATCCACCCACAAGCATATATGCCTGCATACATACAAAGAAAAACCTCTGCACTCACACACGTCTGACATGTGAACATATGAAAAAAACAGAAAACAAAAAGGAATCACCATAATTTCTCTTTCTGTAACAGCCTACCCCTGCTTTGAGATCAGAGGAAATACTACAGCATGTTTTACTATTAATTCATGATGCATTTAGAAATCCAGATCTTTTTTTGGTTTATTCAGGAAGATAGGCAATTTGTGTTGTCTCATCCCTATTAGTGCACTATGTCAATTGAACATCTTAGGAAAACAGGCTCCCTGAAGTGCCAACAGAGCAAACTACAAGGCTAAGTCCAAGTCGGGATAGGGATCTTTAAGTCCTGACCCTAGTCACCCTATCTGGAAATGCATTATATAATAATAAGTTAGTAAGCCACTGAAAAAAAGGCAAATGATTTTAAAAATGGACATGACGTTCAGTAGTTTGGATAAAGAATAAACTACATGTAAAATCATGAATAGATATGATAGATGTTAAAGTGGCATTTATGAATGAAAACTATATTTTTAGATGAAATTAAAAGTGAAACCTAACCTTTTGGCTGGGGCAGACACAGAGTTGGTCTGCTCCTGTGGAGATATTGAATCCTGAGCCATCCTAGAGGAACCACTGCACTCAGAGCTGTCAGTAAAAACTCCATCTCACTCCCTAAGCCCCAGAGTTACATCTGGGAGGCAGGAACAATCAGGACCCACCAGCTACCCAAAACCCGTCCCTCCAGAATTCCACTTCCCTTCCACCCCTGCCTGGTCCTTTTGGCTGGGGAAGACACAGAGTTGGTCTGCTCCTGTGGAGATACTGAATCCTGAGCTATCCTAGAGGAGCCACTGCATTCAGAGCAGCAGAGGAGCCAATGCACTCAGAGCAGCAGACACCCAGCTGGTTTGCACTTGGGTGACATTGCATCCTGAGCCATCCTAGAGGAACCACTGCACCCAGAGCAGAAGGATTTCCAGATCCAAGAGGTGGCCTGAGTCCCAGGAGTTCTTCCACCAAGGAGATTAGGATCAAAAGACCACAGAGACATCTGGATTCTGAGGAGCTCTGCCACAAGCAAGACAACTGGAAATACAGACTCCAGTCTTACACAGTGAGGGCAAGTAACACTAGAGTTAACCAGATGGCAAAAGGCAAGCTCAAGAACATAAGCAACAGAAACCAAAGTTACTTGGCAACATCAGTACCCAGTTCTCCCAATATAGCAAGCCCTGGACACGCGATCACACCTGAAAAGCAGGATTCAGAATTAAAATCACTTCTCATGATGATGATAGAGGATTATAAGAAGGACATAAGTAACTCCCTTAAAGAAGTACAGGAGAGTACAAGTAAACAGGTAGAAGCCCTTAAAGAGGAATCACAGAAATCCGTTAAAGAACTGCAAGAAAACACAAAGAAGGAATTAAACAAAAGCATTCAAGATCTAAAAATGGAAATAGAAACAATAAAGAAATCTCAAAGGGAGATAACCATGGAGATAGAAAACCTAAGAAAGAGATCAGGAGTCACAGACGCAAGCATCACCAACCGAATACAAGAGATAGAAGAGAGAATCTCAAGTGCAGAAGATACCATGGACAATATTGACACAGTTGTCAATGAAAATGCAAAATGCAAAAAAACTCCTGACTCAAAACATCCAGGAAATCCAGGACACAATGAGAAGAGGAAACCTAAGGATAATAGGTATAGATGAGAATGAAGATTCCCAACTTAAAGGGCCAGTAAATATCTTCAAAAAAATTATTGAGGAAAACTTCCCTAACCTAAAGAACAAGATGCCCATGAACATACAAGAAGCCTACAGAACACCAAATAGACTAGACCAGAAAAGAAATACCTCCCTTCACATAATAAGCAAAACATCAAATGTACAAAACAAAGAAAAAATACTAAAAGCAGTAAGGGAAAAAGGTCAAGTAACATATAAAGGCAGACCTATAAGAATTACACCAGACTTCTCACCAGAGACTATAAAAGCCAGAAGAGCCTGGACTGACATCATACAGATCCTAAGAGAACACAATTGCCAGCCCAGATTACTATACCCAGCAATATTCTCAATCACTATAGATGGTGAAACCAAGATATTTCACGACAAAACCAAATTTGCACAATATCTTCTCACAAACCCAGCACTTCAAAGGATAATTGATGGAAAATGCCAACACA